ACAGCAGACAATGAAAGATTCCAGGTGTAAACAGTAGGACCAAAAAGGGCACAAACCGACATATGAGGCCAGACCTGCAGTTACTGATACAGAGGGAGACGATACACAGGGCTGAAGTCTTGAAGATATATGGCAGCGGTCTGGAAGACCTGGCTGAGATGATGAGAGAATCACAGCTTTTGGTAATTAGGTCCAAGAGTGCAAGTGAATCGACTCCAAGTGTTGGTGCCGACTGGCCTGAAAAGTCAGAGCGGACTAGATTCACGGAAAAGTATTTCCTGCGAACAAAGACTTGTCACAAAGCAGCCCATTTGTAGCATCAGATTAATGAAATCAGGGGTCAGGAGCTGCAAGTTCCTGAGGATCTCGTGATAAGGGTAGATAACGGGGGACAGCTCTCTTATCTTGGCTATTTAGTGGAAATAAATTATATAAAATATCAGTTTTTCTTTTTCGGGCCACCCTGCTTTGGTGGGAATCGGCCGGTGTGATAATAAAAAAAAAAAAAAATCAGCAGGATAGACAAGAAAACACAAATGCAGTATAATGCGATCTTATATTAATAACATTTCGCTCACACAGTGGACATAGAAATTTTCGGAAATATGGCTGAGGGTTGTTGTATTCTCACTTCGCAGAGAAGGGCCCGAGAAAACTAGTAGAATGCCAAGTTTAATAGTGATGAACATCCTTCTTCACTGCCATGAGGTTTTACTGAGAAATATTGGTCCTTGATATACACAAACTGACTTGATAGCCAAGCACAATGACTGGTGACAGTATTTCCAGGAGGTAGACTGCATCTGCAGCTGTCGAGAGATAAATGGGCACTGCCAAAATACATGCAAATGGGGGTTCTCAGATTTTTTTTTTTTTATTATCACACTGGCCGATTCCCACCAAGGCAAGGTGGCCCGAAAAAGAAAAACTTTCACCATCATTCACTCCATCACTGTCTTGCCAGAAGGGTGCTTTACACTACAGTTTTTAAACTGCAACATTAACACCCCTCCTTCAGAGTGCAGGCACTGTACTTCCCATCTCCAGGACTCAAGTCCGGCCTGCCGGTTTCCCTGAATCCCTTCATAAATGTTACTTTGCTCACACTCCAACAGCACGTCAAGTATTAAAAACCATTTGTCTCCATTCACTCCTATCAAACACGCTCACGCATGCATATAATCAGCATCTAGAAGATATTTGGGTTGAGGAGATCAAATAGTGCAATAACAAATTTATAAATAATGCGGCAAGACCAAGGCTGCGTAGCGAAGAGTGAAGGGGTCTAGCCACAGTTGCAAAAAAACTAAAGGGATCACACATACAAATCTCCTTAGCTTACCCTGATCCACAGCGAATAGTATTACAGTTTATCAACACACTTGCCTGCAGGAATTCATGCGATTCTATAGCGTGGATAATTTTGTACATTTAGGGCACTCTTTGTATTATTGTCTGGAGGAAAGTATTTAACGTCATGGAAGCCAAGGTTAAACAACAGCTTGAGTAAACATAGCATGGTGCATTCTGCAAGGTACTTTAATCATTAATGATTGTGAGCACTCGCGGAGATTAGCATAGCTTGAGAGTAGCATGGCATAGCATTGAGGGTTCAAAAACATATCAGGTCATCGGAACACAACTGTTCCTCAGGCTGATGTGACCCTTGAACCCGACCACAACGATAGAACTCTCTGGTATACAGCTAAATCTGGAGGTGAGCAGAGAAATTATGCACAAATAATAACATTTGTAATGAATGGCACGTGCACCTATACCCTCTAGGTAGGTGGCCCGGTGGCCTGGTGGCTGTGGCCCGGTGGCCTGGTGGCTGTGGCCCGGTGGCCTGGTGGCTAAAGCTCCCGCTTCACACACGGAGGGCCCGGGTTCAATTCCCGGCGGGTGGAAACATTTCGACACGTTTCCTTACACCTGTTGTCCTGTTCACCTAGCAGCAAATAGGTACCTGGGCGTTAGTCGACTGGTGTGGGTCGCATCCTGGGGGACAAGATTAAGGACCCCAATGGAACTAAGTTAGACAGTCCTCGATGACGCACTGACTTTCTTGGGTTATCCTGGGTGGCTAACCCTCCGGGGTTAAAAATCCGAACGAAATCTTATCTTATCTAGGTTAGGTTAGGTAAGGTTTGTTAGGAAACAAGACAAGTGTTTCCTGACGTAACTCTTAATCATGGAGCTTGGTTAGGTTAGGTAAGAATCGCCAGGAAACAGGACAAGTGTTTCCTGAAGAGGGTCTTAGTCATATGATAACCCTCCACTGGAGCTTTGGTCATCTGACCGAGGCCTTCCGCTGGCTTACCGGTCCATCCATTTATAAATAAGGGTCATATGGAGCTTAATTATTGTCATCAACACGTAACTTCTGACTGAGGTCCGTGTGCTCACCCTGTGCTCTCCTTGGGTGATTTATTATAATAATAATAATAATAATAATAATAATAATAATAATAACGTCGCATGTTTGTCCTCCTCCCCCCCACACCCCCGAGTTGTTTCTTATTAAACTCAGAAAAACCCAGAGTTTATACCCAGCTATGTGGTGTTTTTTTCTCACACACAATTTTGCATAATAAAAGTATAAAAAAAAAAAATTGAGTTTCTCGACCTAGGACGTCTGGATTAGCCTCCCTTAAAATTTCGTTTTCTTTATCGACAGTAATCTACATTTTCTTTGTTAGTTAAAATACCACCAACTTAGCAAAGTTGATAATTATTGCTTGTTCCGTTCAATTAGCTTTCTGTTTAGGAAAAAAAAAACATCAAGAGGTACCTTGATGCTGGAGAAGGGCTTTTGATTCGAGGAATTAAAGCTACCCTGACTAAGCGCTGCGGTTCAGAGGGTAATGCCATAGCAATATGTACTTGTACTGTATCCCTCAAACGTCATGTATTGTATATGCCATCTTTGTACCATCAGTGTATCTTTTAAGCCTTGTGTACTATATTAGTCAATAAAATATACGTTATGGAAAATAACAAGATGAGGTGGTGGGGAAAGTGGATTACTCAAACAGCTTCAGGAAGAAATAATTTTCCTCGAAGCATTTTTATATACTCCGAGGCAAAGAGTCCCACAATTTACACTAGACAGCAGTCAGCAGGATTCGAAGTCACGTCAGGGAGGCCTGTAAGGTTACCACTACTTGGGAAAGGCCCGGGCCGGGAGAATACCGACGAATAATAATAATAAAAAAAGGTTCCTCAAGTGACGCAATAGACCACTCGGCCATAGATGCCTCAAAAGCTTGGTAGCCTTGTTCACAAGCCATGTTTCTTCCCCCAGCCCGGGCATACCTATGAGCCTCAAGCATGGTTTCAAGGTATTTCAGTCTTTTCCTGTTTGTTCTGACCTCACAAGCGAATTTTTACATCAGTGCACCACGCACAACCGAGCGGGTTTTGGAGAACCTTGCCAATCTCCCTGACGTAGCTTCGAATCCTGCTGACTGCCATCTTTATCCTCATTGTAAAGTGGACTATCTCCAAATTATAAAATAATACTCAATGGAAATAAGTCACTTTGTCTGATTTTTATGGGTTATCCTAGTTAATTTACACTATGTATGATAATTGTGCCTAAATAAACTTACACTATATACGATATATGGCATTTATTGATTATTATTATTATAATCAAGGAGGAAGCACTAAACCCGGAGGATTATACAGCGCCTGGGGGGGGATGTGGAAGGCATTCAGGCTTAATTCGGGGAACTGGAGCACAGATCCAATTCCCTAAATCAAGAGCCCCTCACCTACATCAAGGAACCTTCCTTGAGGAGAGCATTTATTGAGGACTTGCGCCCACCGGGGATTGTATCAGTTTTATTTATACCGAGCAGCTAGTTCATTCTTGTTCATTCTGCGAGCGATAGGGCAGCAAACCGGGTTACCAAGGTCACAAAGGGTCTTTACTGGGCACTGGGCATAGTTACATCATAAAAAATATTAGTCATTTCATATATTGCAATACTAAATATCATATATTAGGTTAGGTCAGGTAAGACTCGACAGGAAAATGAACATATGATGACCCTCCACTGGAGGTTTTGGTCATCTGACCGAGACCTTTCACTGGTTTACCGGTCATCCCTCTTAAAATTAAGATTATAATGATTTCTTGATACACATTTAGTGATGAAGATTGAGACACTTATGCAACATATGGGAATCTTTATTCAGGAAACGTTTCGCCACACAGTGGCTTCATCAACTTGTCGGTTTTTCAAACCATTCATCACAACTGTCTGACACTGCAGCATCATGGGATCTTGGTACAAAGAATTCTTCAACACTTGTCCAACCTTTGGACGAAGACCTACTTCGACTAGTGGATGGTACCACTATGACCTCACCTCCTCCTGCTTCGCCTCACCTCACTACAGTATATAAGCCACGTCTACGGCCCTATGCTGTAGATCGACACCATGCCTAACCCTTCTAGGGTAGGGTAGGTGCCTGAGCCCGAGCCTTTAGCTCATAAGACTGTCATTCCCATTTGCCCCCTTGGGGCGGGGATGGCAGACCAGAGAGGCCTAGCTTGTGGCTAGGCCTGGGGACAGTTGGTCCCAAAGATGAGGAGGTACTTGTGCCTCCTCCCATGGGAGACTTAGGTCTCAGACACTCCCTAAAGAGGGAGCCAAGGCCGGGCCACCACTTGGACAAGGCCCGGGCCGGGAGAATACCGGCTTATCTTTAACTAACTACCTAACCTATGCTGTACATTCTACAAGATTGATGGACTGAACACATCGACTCCAGGCTGAGGGACTGATTACCTCAAACTCCTCCTCTCCTTACGTCTTTCCACTTTATATCGGACTGATGAAGCCACTGTGTGGCGAAACGTTTCCTGAATAAAGATTCCCATATGTTGCATAAGTGTCTCAATCTTCAACTTGTCGGTTTTTCAAACCATTCATCACACATTTAGTGATCTTTCTGAAGGAAATGATGTACGAAATGTTTTCCAATCAACTGTTTAAAGGGACACACCAGAGGCGGCAACAAAACAGTGATCAGCTGAGCAACGATGTAGTTGGGTGTACTTCTCGCTCTTGCTCTGCTGAAGCTTAAATTGAAGTATCTAGGTATTTATAGGCTCTAGTTTTATGTTAGGTCTTTAATTTAAAGAATCTTACAGGTCCCGGGTCACCGCTGGAGCTTTAATTATACGATATTTAAGAATTAAAGAACCTTGTGATCACTCTGGGAGCTTTAATTAAAGAACCTTGTCTATCAACAGGGTATTTAATTCGACCATTTTCCAGGTTATTTAAAAGTTTTGTTCCTTGTGGCTTAGCGCTTCTTTTTGATTATAATAATAATAATAAAAGTTTTGTTTGTAAACACCTTGCTGAGGGTGACTGAAACGTGCAACACTTGGGTATCTTTATTTCCGAAACGTTTTGTCTGCATAGATGTATAAATATAAATTAACTCATTTTACCTTCCCCTCAAGGAAGGTTCCTTGACGCTGGTGAGGGGCTCTTGATCTGGGGAATTGGATCTGTCCTGAATACCTTCCATTCCCCCACCTGGTGCGCTGTATAATCCTACGGGTTTAGCGCTTCTTTTACTTTATTCATGGTATATCTTCTTTATGGTATAATAAGATATTATCTCCTTTATGGTATAATAATAAGATATTCTCTCTTTTATGGTATAATAAAGTATTAAAAGGACCCCAATGGATATAAGTCACTTTGACTGTTTTGGGTTATCTTAGGTCCTCTACACATATGCTACACATATGCTACACATATGTATGATAATCTATGTAACTGTATTTGTGGCCCGGTGGTCTGGTGGCTAAAGCTCCCGCTTCACACACGGAGGGCCCGGGTTCGATTCCCGGCGGGTGGAAATTCCGACACGTTTCCTTACACCTATTGTCCTGTTCACCTAGCAGCAAATAGGTACCTGGGTGTTAGTCGACTGGTGTGGGTCGCATCCTGGGGGACAAGATTAAGGACCCCAATGGAAATAAGTTAGACAGTCCTCGATGACGCACTGACTTTCTTGGGTTATCCTGGGTTATCCGGGGTTAAAAATCCGAACGAAATCTTATCTTATCTTATCTTATATGTACCTTGCACGAAAGGCTTCTTCGCTCAGAGATAAAATAGTTTTGATTGGAAAGTCAAATTCAAATTTTTATTTTTCTTCTGTAGCTCCTTTGCTAAACAGCTGTATAACAAGCTATACATAAAAAAAAGGACACATATTGCAATCCATAGTATTCTAGCAAATTAAATAATTGTTAAGTATTATAAGTTAATTTTAAGGCTGTACTGAACTTTGTGGAAATAATGTTGCCATTGTGTTTCTCATTGTTGTTTTCTCATTCGTGGGCCACGCTCACCTATGACTGCAGCTAAACCTGCTGCATCTCGCCTCCACTCTAATATTTAAGGTTTCGACTCCTGCCTGTGCTGTAAGTTGATTCCAGTATAGGTACACATAAATACAGTTACATAAATTATCATACATAGCAGCATATGTGTAGATTACATAGGATAATCCCAAAAATGTCAAAGTGACTTATTTCCATTGAGGAAATACTTTAAGCTCGAGGGACTGACTACCACCAACTAAGGATGATAAACCAATCATGGTGCCCTGTGGTCAGGTTGCTAAACCTCTTGCTTCACATAGCGAGGGTCTGCATTCAATTCTCAGCTCGAGTAGAAACATTGGGTGTATTTCTTTACACCAGCTGTCTATGAACACCCATCAGTAAAATGGTACCTGGGAGTTTAGTCAACTGATTGGGTCACATCCTGGGACAGGACCTAATTTGCCCGAAATGCCTCTGCATAAAAAGGGGGCTTTAATATATATAATATATTATAATATATATATTATATATAAAAATATATATATATATGTGTGTGTATATAAATATATTTTATATATATATATATATATATATATATATATAATAAAATATATATATATATAAAATATATATATATAAATATAATAAATATTATATATAAAATAAAATATATGCAAAACAACCACTCTGAAAGAAAAGAGAAATTCCAAGCGTTTTCCCGTGACTACTCACATTATCATATTTCCCTTTGATAATGTGAGTATCAGAAGCGCTTGGAATTTCTCTTTTCTTTCAGATGGTTGTTTTGGGATATTCTGAAAAACACCTGTTTACTGTGATCTTATTGCATATATATATATATATATATATATATATATATATATATATATATATATATATATATAATATAATATATAATATATATATATATATATAATATAAATATATATATATATAATATATATATAATATATATAAATATATATATATATATATATATATATATTTTATATATATAATATATATATTATATATATATAAATATATATATATTATATATATATATATATATATATATATATTATATATATATATATATATATATATATATATATATATTAATATATGTGTGTGTATGTAAATTTTGTAAAGTATATTCGTGCCGAATAGGCAGAACTTGCGATCTTGGCTTAAATAGCAATGCTCATTGCCATATAGGACAAGTGAAAATTTGTGTATGCAATAGTTTCGCCAAAATTATTCTGAACCTAGCGAAAAAAATACATTTGACTGTTTAGTATTAAATTACTGTAAACAAATCTAAAATATATTTAGTTGGGTTAGGCTAAAATAAATTGCTCTTGTTATAATAGGGTTAGGTAAGTTTTCTAAGATTCTTTTGGTGCAAAATTAAAAAATTTTTACATTAACATTAATGAAAAAAATATAATCTTTAAACTTATAAGATGAGACGTCTTGCTCTGTTCTCTACTCTGTCAAGCAGTCGCAGATGAGAGGGGGGGGGCAGGCAAACCAAGAAAGTGGAGCATACTCACAAGTACGCTCGCACATTGAGTATGCTCCACTTTCTTGGTTTGCCTGCCTCCCCTCTCATCTGCGACTGCTTGACAGAGTAGAGAACAGAGCAAGACGTCTCATCTCTCACCTGGACCCATCCTGGATAGATCTGTCATTTCAGCAGAGCCTTCAACACAGGAGGGATGTGGGTGGCCTTACTGTTATGTACAAGGCCAATATTGTCAAAGTACCACACTTGGATCTACTTCGAGGACAGCGTGAAACAAGCTTTTATACCACAAGACGGGCAGAAAGCAGCAACTTCACTCTGGCTGTACCCTTCTCCAGAACATCACTCCATCTGAGATCATATATACCCAGGATGACTCGAGTATGGAACACATTCGTACAGCATAATGATGTCAATGAGATAAAGTCAGCTGATCAAATAAAAATGCTGGCCCACAAATGGCTCCAACTTCATCCTGTTCCCTACTTGTATGTCTCATAACAATATAAATGCTTTCAAATGAGCTGATGTAGGTAACAGCTCTTAGCTTGTCAATAAAGCTAAGGATCCTTAACCTTGTCAAACCCTGTGTAAAAAAAAAAAAAAAAAAAAAAAAAAAAATTTAAATGTGTTCTTGCTAATTGACCAGTTTTACATATTCGGCACGACACACACATACATACATCCCATATATATATATATAAATATATATATATATATATACACACACACACACATACATACTTGTAGTAAATAAAGGTATTATTATTATGTCAGAAGCACAGTAAATTCTTGATTTCATGGATTTTGGTAATGCATATAAAAATTAGCTGGATCAATTGATTCAGAAACACTGAGGTTCTACTGTAAATGATACCTGCTTTTCCCCTATTAGTCTCCTTAATTTTGAATTTACTGTATGCACTGTACTATTTATAGGTTATTATATTACCCTTTTAAAAAGGAGCACAGTGCTAAATGTCAGTTTTATCAAAATAAAAATATAATGCCATAGCTTTTTTGATTCTTAAATGATAGATAATGTAGTATAAATTTCATTATTTCTGTGCAGTAACAGTAAAATTTTTATTTACAGTGAACTTTCTACGAGTTGGTGAGATGCTTTAAAAAGAATCCAATCTAACAACAATTTGACACTTCAAAATTCATATTAACGAGGGACAAAATTCATGTCATCGAGGAACAAGATAATCATTCCACATGGACTGTAAATTTGGCAATAAAAAAGACAATCACATAATTTAAGAATGTGAGTGTGCACATGTGGTTTGTTGTAGTGAAATGTTCATGGTTGTTTCTTTGATAGGGCCCCCTCAAGGAGGTTCCTTGATGCTGGTGAGGGGCTCTTGATCTAGCAAATTGGATCTGTGCTCCGGTTCCCTGAATTGAGTCTGAATACCTTCCATCCCCTCCGCATCCCATGTGCGTATAATCCTATGGGTTTAGTGCTCCCCCATGATTATAATAATAATAATAATTTGATAGGCAACAGTAATACGTGTAATTGATTTTGGGCAGTTTTGATGAATGACCATGCTAGTAAAGATTAATTATAAATTTTTTATTGTTAATGAATTTATCTTTTCTCCTTAATAAAATTAAATATTTTTATCGTCAGGGGAGAAGAAAGACAACAATGAATTGAATTTTTTATAAACTCGTGTTCATACTTGTCTGCTGTTTTAAATCAAGTGGCTGTAGTGTACTCCTTCATTACTTAATTTATCCTCATCTCTTCCTCATATTGACCATTATGGGTTTAACACTCCCCCATGAATAAAATAATTATAATTTATCTTCATATTTTATGTTTTGTTTTTTTCTAACAAGTCGGCCATCTCCCACCGAGGCAGGGTGACTCAGAAACAAAGAAAATCCCCAAAAGAAAATACTTTCATCATTCACCACTTTCACCTCACTCACACATAATCACTGTTTTTGCAGAGGTGCTCAGAATACAACAGTTTTAGAAGCATATATGTATAAAGATACACAACATATCCCTCCAAACTGCCAATATCCCAAACCCCCTCCTTTAAAGTGCAGGCATTGTACTTCCCATTTCCAGGACTCAAGTCCGGCTGTATAAAAATAACCTGTTTCCCTGAATCCCTTCACTAAATATTACCCTGCTCACACTCCAACAGTTCATCAAGTCCCAAATACCGCCCACAAAACCCCCTTTACTCCCTCCCTCCAACCTTTTCGAGGACGACCCCTACCCCGCCTTCCATCCCGTACAGATTTATAAAGCTCTCCATGTCATTCTAAATTTGATCCATTCTCTCTAAATGACCAAACCACCTCATCAACCCCTCTTCAGCCCTCTGACTAATACTTTTATTAACTCCACACCTTCTCCTAATTTCTGCACTCCGAATTTTCTGCATAATACAGTATTTACACCACACATTGCTTTTAGACTGGACATCTCCACTACCTCCAACCGTCTTCTCACTGCAGCATTTACAACCCAAGCTTCACACCCATATAAGAGTGTTGGTACCACTATACATTCCCTTCTTTGCCTCCATAGAAAAGGTTTTCTGTCTTCAGATAAAACCTCAATGCACCACTCGCCATTTTTCCTTCATCAATTCTATGTTTAAACCTCATCTTCATAAATCCATCCGGTGACACACAACTCCCAAATACAGTGGACCCTCGACATTCAATACTAATCCATTCCTGAGAGCTATCGAATGTCGAAAATATCGAAAGTCGAATTAATTTTCCCCATAAGAAATAATGGAAATCAAATTAATCCATGCAAGACACCCAAAAGTATAAAAAAAAATTTTACCACATGAAATATTAAGTTTAATGCAATAGAATAATTACAATAACAACCATAACAATAGATTAATAACAATAGAATAATTGACACTTACCTTTAATGAAGATCTGGTGATGATTGATGGGGTGGGAGGAGGGGAGTGTGTGGATGGTGTTAGTGTTTAGAAGGGGAATCCCCTTCCATTAGGACTTGAACGGGCAGCCTAAACCATGCCTTACCACACTGTGTATGCCACTACGATTCTTAAATCTTCAACCAACCTTTGCTGGCCTTAAATTCACTCGCATCACTAGTTGCAGGCAATTTCTTTACCAAATCATCATGCACTCCGACACACGCACTCCACTTTCCGTACTTTGCAATTATTTTCTTTCGTCATTTCAATAGTCATTAGCACATTTTTTCTCGAAGGGTTTTGGGACTAGAAGCTTTCTTGGGGCCCATGGTTTTCTTATTTTGTAGAAACAAGCACCAAAAACAGTGATAATATGGATAATATGGAATGTAACGAATGTATCCTTAGATGCACGCACACTGGCTGGCTTGTAAACAACTGGGACACATGGGCAGTTCAGGCCAAACTTGGACACGTCTCTTACGAATCGTATCGAATGTCAGGTTTTCCATCGAATGTCGTGGCAAAATTTTTGCGTTAAAATGCATCGAATGTCTGATTTATCGAATTCGATGCCATCGAATGTCGGGGTCCCACTGTACTGAAAACATTCACTTCTTCCCTACTCCTCCTCTCCAATTTGATATCCAATTTTTCTTTAAATCATTTGATACCCACATCACCTTACACTTTTCTATGTTTATATCTGTAGTCACAGTGATGATGGTGACTGTTGTTGCTGGTGCAGCTGAGGTTGCTGCTGCTGCTGTGGCCATGGTGGCAACTACTGCAAATTTATCTAGTTTATTTTAAGTTCATTACTGTATCTGCAATGTTTATGTTTTTGATTCCATAAGTAATATATCTTTTTCTTTCAGGATTTAGATTGGTTTGCACATATGCAAAACCCAGTGGAAGTCGTCCAAACACAGCCAACATGCAGCTTCTCCTCACTTAACAACTGAATTCCATTCCTAAGACCACGTCAGTAAACAAATTCACTGCTAAGTGAGGAGCATACTATAATGGTAGTGGGTTTGTGTTAACTATCTTTGATATTACAGTGGACCCCCGACATTCGATATGAATCCATTCCTGAGAGCTCATCTAATGTCGAAAATATCAAAAGTCGAATTAATTTTCCCGATAAGAAATAATGGAAATCAAATTAATCCTTGCAAGACACCCAAAAGTATGAAAAAAAAAATTTTGCCACATGAAATATTAAGTTTAATGCAATAGAATAATTACAATAACAACAATAACAATAGATTAATAACAATAGAATCATTGACCTTACCCTTAATGAAGATCTGGGGTGATTATTGTTTGGGGGGGAGAGTGTGGAGGTGTTGGTTTTTTAAAAAGGGGGAACCCTTTCCATTGGGTTTTTGGGGTATAAAGTTTTTTTTCCGGGAAATTTCCCCCTTCTTTTAATCCCACTAGCCCAGTTTAGAGTCCCGATTTTGTCACACAACATATCTGTCCATAAGCTCTGTATCTCCCGTTCCTTTAAGATTGTCTAAAATGGCCACAACATTGTCATTGTAAAGTCACCAGCGCGGCTTGCAATCTGGTTAGGGTTTTCAAAAATAATTTTTAAAAGATAGAGAAGATTTACTCCTCTTTAAAAGATTGGATACATAATACACATTTAATATAAATTAATCTTTATAAAAATCAACATCTTTGGTCTAGAGGTATTTGAACATGATATAATAATAATATGTACATGTTACATAAAAATTAAATCACATTTATAAATAAATTAAAACCCTACACAGGGTACAACTCTTGACACTACTGCCCATATATATATACTCTATGCTAAAACATAAATTAAAATAACATTTTTATAATATAATTAAATCAACTTCCACGACGACGAAGTCAATACGACGAAACTGTTCATGTACACTACATCAGCCATCTTCAGTGTCCAGACCCCTTCAATCCAGTTTCCACTCGTCCTGTGCCATAACTCGTGTTCCATCCATCGTTACGTCCCTCAGTTAATACGGTCCAGCCCACCGTGTAACTCCAACCTTTTCTTCATGTAATGTCCCACTAAACAGCATCTGACGCCCGGCCCACATTGATCAACGGAGGTGGCCACAACACACCGTAGTCCAGTAAATCCTCTCCAAAGGCGTTGACACACGCAAGAACACCATGCTGCAAGCTCACTGAATGCGCGTCAGGTAACTAGGCCAACAGACTCAGTGAGCTGCGTGAGCGGTTACTTCTAACGCCAGTGAAGTCGATTCGGTGGTCAGTACCTACTCATCGTGTACCCTGAGGATTCAGGTACTTAATGTTAAGCCAGTAAAATTACCCTTCGGTGGAGACCTAACTGCTTAGGTGTGTACGTGAGGCGCTCGGAATATATTTCAAGCCAGTAGACTGTACCCTTCCGTGGTCAGTCACCTATGCTTAGTGTGTACAGCGAGCGCTCTGTACATACGTTATAAAGGAAACGTGTACCCTTCGTGGTCAGTACCTACTGCTTAGGTGTACAGCGAGCCTCTACATATGTTACTAATAATAGAAATGAACCCATTTGTATACTGCTTGTTGTACCTTGAGCACTCAGGCTCTTATGCTCTATGGCCGGCTCAGGTCCCTTGTGTTTGATGACGTCCCAGTTAGGATTCCGGCGTTAACTATTTAACCGCTATTTGCATGGGCCGAAACCCCCACCACAAAAGGACGTCACAAGATTAATGTAATATATCCCAACCGTCATTCTATGATCATCCAGAAATTTCTTAAATCCAACTCCGACAGGCCCCCATATATTACAAAAAAGTAATTTTTAAAGGAAGAGATTTAAAAGTATTTTAAAAAAATTCCTTTTTTATAAAAGTTCGGGATACATAAATACACACATTAATATAAATTAATCTTTAATATATAAAATCAACTATCTTTGGTCTAGAGGTATTTGAACTATGATATAATAATAATATGTACATGTTTACTATAATAAATTATAATCAGCATTTTACTAAAATATAATTAATAACCTCACACAGGGTACAACTCTTGACACTACTGTCACTATATATATATATCTCTATGCTAAAACAATAAATTATAAATAACATTTTTATAATAATAAATTACAATCAACTGCCTCTCACGACACGAAGTCAGTCCATACGACACTGTTCAGTGTACACTACAACCAGGCCATCTTCAGTGTCCCACGACACCCTTTTCATCTCAGTGTTCCACTACGGTCCTGTGCATAACTCATGTTCCACTCCATCGACGTCCCTCAGTGTCACACTACGGTCCTGGCCCAGTTCAGTGTAACACTCCAACCTTTTCTTCATGTAATGTCCCACTAAACAGCATCTGACGACTCCGGCCCACAGTTGATCAACGTAGACGTGAGTCCACAGACATCACCGGTAGTCCAGTAAATCCTCTCCAAAGGCGGTTGACACACCGCTAGCCGAACACCATGCTGCAAGCTCACTGAATGCGGCCGTCAAGTAACTGAGGCCAACAGACTCAGTGAGCTGCGGTGAGCGGTTCTTCTAACGCCAGTAGATAGGTACGATTCGGTGGTCAGGTACCTACTGCATAGACGTGTACCCTGAGGAGTTCAGGTACTTAATGTTGAAGCCAGTAGACGTGTACCCTTCGGTGGTCAGGTACCTACTGCTTAGGTGTGGTACAGCGAGGCGCTCAGGTACATAATATTTCTAAAGCCAGTAGACGTGTACCCTTCGGTGGTCAGGTACCTACTGCTTAGTGTGACAGCGAGGCGCTCTGGTACATACTGTTACTAAAGCCATAGACGTGTACCCTTCGGTGGTCAGGTACCTACTGCTTAGGTGTGTACAGCGAGGCGCTCTGGTACATACTGTTACTAAAGCCAGTAGACGTGTACCCTTCGGTGGTCAGGTACCTACTGCTAGGTGTGTACCGTGAGGCACTCAGGCTCTTACTGCTCTAAGCCGGCTCAGCAGTCCCCACATTGGGTTTGATGACGTACCCAGTGGTACTGCCGGCCGGCAGGTTAACTATTTAACCGCTAGTTTGGCAGGGGCCGCAAAAAAAAAAACAGTGATTTCATCCTAAAGTTGCAGTTCACCCACTTTGCACACATTTCCGTAATCTTTGAAGTAGCACAATAGATCCACCAACTGGCATAGGCTTCTCAGGGTTAGCCCAAACCCTTCAAAACTCTTTCTTAATTTCCATACTAAATACACACCCTTTTACTACAGGTTGCATAGAAGCTTCTTGGGCCCATGGTGACTTATTTGCAGAAACAAGCACCAAAAACAGTGATATATGGATGCACTGAATGTAATCCTTAGATCGCGCACACTGGCAGGCTTGTAAAACGGCACACACAGGGCAGTTCAACCAACTCTGACACATCTCGTCGAATCGTATCGAATACGGTTTTCGATCGAATGTCAAGCAAAATTTTTGCGTTAAAATCATCTAATGTCAATTTATCGAATGCGAGAGTCCACTGTATTATAATGTCCATCTTTGCACCATTTATAATATTTCGGGCATATTTATACAGTAGTGTACGTACATGTATATTGTAATAAACAAAACAGAGGAAATCAGCTCTAATATACATTATAAGGGTATGCATACGGGTCAGAGAGCCTGTTGTAAGTCCAAAGCGTCGGTAAATGAGTACATCGCTAAGTGAGGAGAAGCTATACAGTGGGACCCCCCCCGCCTTACGTTTTAAATTTCCATTCCTGAGAGCTCCACGTATGCTAAAATTTATCATAAGGCGAATTAATTTTCCCCATAAGAAATAAGGAAAATAAAAATTAATCCATGCCAGACAACAAAAAGTATGAAAATTTTTTTTTTTAAACCACATAAAATATTAATTTTAATACACACAACTGAAGAAGACATGTACAGTTAATACTCTACTAAGATAGAATACATGACACTTAACCTTTATTGAAGATCTAGTGATGATTGATATGATGGGGATGGGAGAGTGTGGAAGTTGTTATTTGAGGTATCCTTTTCCCGGGTTACTTCCCTTCTTTTTTTAATGCCACTAGGACCAGCTTGAGAGTCACTGACCTCTGTCGCACAACATATCTGTCCATAGAGCTCGTACCCCGTTCCCTTTATGATTTGTCTAAAGTGGTTCACAACATTGTCATTGTAAAAGTCACCAGCATAGTTTTGCAATACTGTGTAGGGTGTTGTCTCCATAAAGGCTTGCACTTCAAGCCACTTTGCACACATTTCCTTAATCTCTTTTTTCAATTCCATACTAATTCTCACCCTTTTTACCACAGGGATGGCACTAGAAGCTTTCTTGGGTCCATAGTGCCTTATTTTGCAGTTACAAGCACTACAAACACTGGGATAATGTGAAATGTAGCGAATGAAAGCCATAGATGCGAACCGCACTGGCTGGGTTGTAAACACTGGCACTGGAGGCCACATGTGGGACGCGTCCTGGACAAATCACATAAGGTGATTTTTTAGCGTGAGGCAGGGAAAATTTTTGCATTAAAATGTATCATATGGCGGATTTAACGTAATGCGATGCCATCGTACGGCGGGGGGTCCACTGTATTTCCTTCTCGGTTGTTCCTTATTCATCATTGGTTTTATGTCCTTGACTCATAGTAAATTTAGCATATTGTTCAGCGCCTTTGTTTAGTAAAGGCATGAAATTATGCTTTTTCGTTAGGTGAACTAAAATATTTTCAAAGAAATGTATCACTGAATGATTAAGCCCCTGTTGAGTAACATTCAACCAGTACTGAATTAAATGTGATTTTCTTATCTAGAGTGTATAAATCTGTAGTGGAGGGAAGGCGGGCAGAGGTCAGCCTAGGAAAAGGTTGGACGAAGGGGTAAAGGAGGTTTTGTGTGTGAGGGGCTGGACTTCCAGCAAGCATGCATGAGCATGTTAGATAGAAGTGAATGGAGACAAATTGGTTTTTAGGACTTGACGTGCTGTTGGAGTATGAGCAGGATAATATTTATGAAGGGATTCAGGGAAATCAGCAGG